CAAATTATTGAGGTACAGGGAGTTCGGTTGTCCTGGTTTGGTGAAAATAAATGCTGTTGTACAAGTCTTCTTTTTCTAAATTAATTTTTTTATAGATCGTCATTTGTTATCTTAAATGAGCATCCATTGTTCTAACACCGGCATGTCAAACTAAGACTCTCCACAAATACGGTTTTCTTGAAAACTGTTGTACATATCAGAGTATGGGTCTGATCCAAAATATGCATAAAATGTTTAAGGAACTCAAGGTTATTCATGCGTCATTCATGTGAGTGGTTCTGTGGCTACAGTTCACATGGGGCTAGTTCAGTACTGCAATATGGGTTTTCATAAATATTAGTAGATCAAAAAACTGCAGCTGAGCTGCCTGTAAAGATTACTGGTTAATATATGTTTTTATTGTCCTATTTTATATACATTATTTCTTTATAAAAATAAAGCTTTTTGAAAGGTTTCAGAAATGTGATAATAATGCAGCAGTCTGAACCAGTGAGACTCATGGTTTTGTTCATCTCTACTAACACCATGCTCGCAGTCATTTTCTACTACTGATAGTTCAGACACTTCTGTTATTTACAGAGTAGTAAAATAGTGGTATATTCAGAAAGCACTAAAAAAAATGCTTTTAAAAAAATTCTAGGTCAGTAAATTAGACATTTAACCTCTATTACGTCCAGATGTAATGGAGATGCTCTACCAACATTAGAAGGGTAACTGTATTTTTAAAATTTATTTGTAACTATTTTATTTTTGGAATATATGTTTTATTCATCAGTGGATTTTTCATTAGTCACAAATGAATTAGTACAATAGCATAGGCAGAACATTGGCTGGGTTGATACTATTTGCATATTGTAGATACTTTTCATTTCTTTAATATTATGACAGAGGGAATGTTCCAAGAAATTTTGGCACATTTCCTATATTGCCAAATGCTGCAGTTGTATTTTAGTTCATGGACTGAGCTTGATTTCAAATATAACTTCCTCAGAGTTATAATGGTAAATTTAAATTTCCCATTATTTTGAAAGTTTTTGCATTACCATGGCTAGGATATTGAAATTAAGCTGTTAGTTTTGAAGGAAAGTTCTGATTAGATATACTGTGGTCACATAAATCTGGTTTGTTTGTTTGATTGGATTTTTTAAACTTATTTTATTTTACACTATTTTGAGAGTTTCTTCATGGAACATTTTATACCTCCAAGATGATGGTCCAAATTTGCTTTTCTATATTTTCTTTTATCTTCTCATTTGGTAGTCCTATAGATATAACATTATTATTGTTAATGTAATTCCATTTGTTCACATAGGAATTTTATTTACATACATAAACATCGCCTCAGGAGAGCTGTGACTTCTCCTATTCCTCCCCTTCTCTCCCAGTACTATGTAGA